ATACGTTAATATATACGAAATATATCGTATGTTCTAAGCATTAATTGCTGATCTTCTATATCGTGATGGAAAAATCAAAATTTAAATTTAAAATTTTTGTTTTATAGAGATTGTAAATAATAAATGTATGTAAAAATTCTTTACTTTGGAAATCCTATCCTATAAGAAAGAGAAAAGAGATCCTACAAATATGTGGGAGAGAATATATTATCATTAATTATATACGAGGATCGTTTGAAAAGTTTTGAGCCTCAACATAAAGATGGCATTACTCGTCAAAGCCATTCTGATACTACAATCTTTACCGGATGTTTTCCGACCAAATGGAAAAAATATCTATGCTTCTTTATTCTGAAAGCAGTGATAGAGTCAGAGCCATTAGTATGTCCTCGTATTTTTTGAAGTTACTAGAGAAAATCCTAAACGAAAGATTCCAATGGTGGTTTCAGCATAATCAGGTAATATACGATATTCAATTTGGTTTCAGGATGAACAGATCTTGCATAAATAGTTTGACTATGCTGATATCAAACATTCATAAGCAATTCTATAAAAAAGAACACTTAGCAGCTCTGTTTCTAGACATCAAAGAGGCATATAACAATGTTAGTTCTGTTAAATTATCTGATTGAACTGCCTAAAGGCTTTATAGTATTTATACATAATTTGATTTCGAAAAGGAATATCCACTAACATATCGGTCAACATCTCACGAAATACCTTTAAAAGAATTATCTCTTCCTTAATCCTACTTATTCTCATTATACATTAATAACTTAGATAATTTAATTTCTCCAGAAGTAAGAATTTTGAAGTTTGCCAACATTGCGGTGTACTCCTTTGGTTCCTCTATTGAAAATAGCTTATTATCCTTGGAATAGCAAATTAATACTGTAACCGACGAGCTTTCTGCTAGAAATCTTGAAATATCTCCTGAAAAGTGTAAATTAGTAATTTTTAATAATGATAACGTTAAGACGGGAGGCTTTCAAATTTCAATATCTAACACGGTTATTAAACTATCTTCCCATGTTAAATTCCTAGGAATAGTGCGATGTTCATTGCAAAAAGTATTGGGTTGTCCGGAAAGTTCGTGCGTATTTCTCAACAGATGTCGTTTGAAGGCGAATATCATATGTTTATGTCGATGCGATGTGTCAGATGCTTTCGTGTTTTGATTAGTGACATTTCAAAGCATAATTAGTGATATTCATTATCCCAATAAATTAAAAACGGTTTACTTGAAATCAGCTTAAAGATGGAAGGAAACGTGTTTTTTCGATGCATAATGCTTTTTTATTTCCGCAAAGGCAAGAACGCGACACAAACTCGAAAAAAAATATGTGCCGTATACAGGGAAGATGCCGTAAGTGATCGCATGTGCCAGAAGTGGTTTGCAAAATTTCGTTCAGGAGAAATGAATATTGAAGATGCTCCTCGCTCTGGCCGGCCAGTCACCACCGATGTCGACCAAATTACAGCTTTAATCGATTCCGATCGGCAAATCACAGTTCGGAAAATCGCAGCAAGGTTAAACATTGGCAAATCAGTTGTTTCCGAACATTTAAACAAGCTCCAGATTATAAAAAAGCTTGATGTTTGGGTACCGCACGACTTAACTGAAAAAAATCGTATTGATCGCATTTCCATCAGCGATTTGCTATACAAACGCAACGAATACGATCCATTTTTGAAGCGTATCATAACAGGCGACGAAAAGTGGATAATTTATAATAATGTCGAGCGTAAAAGGTCATGGAGCAAGCGAGGTGAACCGCCATCGACCACTCCGAAGGCAGGTTTACATCCAAAGAAGGTAATGCTCTGCATTTGGTGGAATTGGAAAGGGATAGTGTACTATGAGCTACTACCGAACAACGAAACCATCGATTCGGACAAGTATTGTTCACAGTTGGATAAATTGAAGGTGGAAATCACCAAAAAGTGTCCGGAATTGATCAATAGGAAAGGCGTCGTTTTTCATCATGATAACGCCAGACCTCATACAAGTTTACTTGTACGAAAAAATATTGCCTCGGCCGGGAGTCGAACCCATATTGTTTATAATACGCTCGCCTATACATGCGTAACTCACTATATATATCGGTTATTGCGAAGAGTGTTGCTAAGGTCTCGGTAGTCTAAAGGCTCAGGACGCTCACACGGAATGTAAGAGATCCGGGTTCGACTCCCGGCCGAGGCAATATTTTTCGCAATAAGTTTATTACAATTTTTTAAGATTTGGGAGAATTTGGGGGGATTATTTGTTTCAGATTGATTGTGTGAATCCGATAAATTCATCGGCTCTCAATTTATTTTCTGAAATATTAATTCAATTTAATTGAATGTATATTAGATAGTAGTTCAACATCTTAACACTCGACCGAAAAGGCGCTTTGTATTTAAAGTCTTAATATTTATATAGACGGTCTTGTTTCCAATCATAATGGTTTAAACTTTGCTTCTTTGGAACTCCTCAAAAACTACTTGGACAGCTTTTTCGCCGAAAAACCCCAGGACTTCTACGAGAGGGGAATTTTGAAATTACCCAAAAGATGGAAAAGTATTGTGCAAAATAATGGTGCATATGTTACAGAATAAAATTACTTTTAATAATAAAAATTTGTCGTTTGAATTTTGCTTAAAAATCCGCACGGACTTTCCGGACAACCCAATACGATAACATTGTTATTCAGATGTATGGAGCTTGAAAGTTACAGTACCGCCGGTATTATCCAATTATTCAATGCCACTTATCCTGACCGTGATCTTATTTCAAAATCAACTGTTTCTGAAAAACCGATTCAATTAAAGATGAGCCAAGATAAGCGCGCGCACGTTCTCATCTCGAAAAGTCCTTTCAAACGAGCCTTCACTCGACCTCACATGCCATTTAAGACTTTCAAGCCCCTTCTTCCTCCTCCCCTCGGGAATATTAAGATGGGTGTTTTTTGAGGTTCAATGATAGATTTTTACGGTCTCGTTGTATTCCTGTAAATTTCAATCCTATATCTCGAACCATTCAGAAATTATTCAGGTGGCCCAGGACTTTTGGCGGGCAGTATATAACACACTAATTAGATCAAAGATTGAATATGGCGGGTTTCTTCTTTCGCCCAGCTCGAATCAACTATACAAACTTGAAAAAATTCAGTTAAAATGCTTTCGCTTGACAATGGGATATATGAATTCTACTCTTACTAATGTAATAATGAAAAAATTATTGTTAAGAATTATTAAAAGAATTAAAAGTATTGTTAGTATACAGATTTGAACTTCTCTGTTGTAAGTTTCTTCTAAGTTTGACTCGTGATTATCTTCCGTTGCTGAATTGTTTAAAGGAAATTAAAGACCTATCGGAACATCCACTTGTGTTCTAATAACTTCAACAAAACTAATACTAAACTACAAATTTGAAGAAAACGGTGTTATTTTTACACCGTTTAACAGTGTCATTTTTAAGTCCCATGTCAATGTATACTATCAAAAAGAATTTAAAAACCAAATCTCTGATCTGAATATTAACCTTCTTAGCGACGAAAATATTTAAGTCAAACAATGTCAACGCGTTATTCCAAGATACCTTCTACATAGAGCAGTCTTCTAATATCTTTATTTTCACGGATGGATCAAGAACGGAGTTAAACAATAGTGCAATAGTGAGAATAGCTGGTTGGTCTCTTAATGAACAGTTCACCTTTAGCTTCAAACTTTATGACCTAACTTCGATTTTCATGGCAAAAGCCAGTTCTTGAATTAATAGTTAATAGTTAGTTCAGAGCTTCAAAATTTTTACACATCTTGTTATTATAGATTGTAAGAGCATTTTAGAGGTTTTGTCCAATAGAAAAAATTTCAGACATCAGTCGTAGTTAATTCAAGAGATTTGTGAATTATTGATTGAATGTAAGGATAGAAATAAAGGAATTCAGCTGGTCTGGATTCCTACTCATTGTGGCATTACCGGCAACAAAAGAGCCCTTACTAAACAGGCGGCACTTGAAGGCATTCTTTTAGAGCAAGCTATCCCTTACTCTGATGTCAGTAGCAAATATAAAGCTAAGCGTAGCGAAGAATAACATAGCTTTATACATAAGAGCTATGGAAGGTAATAAAAGCCTTTTATTCTTTCAATGTTTCAAAAGTCAAATATCAAGACCATGATTTAACAAACTTGACTAAATAGGAAAGCTATTGTTACAATTTACCAGATATGTAGCGAGTACTGTTCACTTAAGTACAGTCTTGTTAAATATAGGATAGTCAATCTGTTCTCACGAACGAGATGCAGAAGACTTAGAACACATTTTTTGGCACTGTAACAAGTAATGCAAAATATGGCATTATGACAAGAAATGCAAAAATATGATCAAGAAATTTAGCCAAAAAGGAATTGAAACCCCTTTTGATATAAGAAGTAATTTTTAAAAACTTGAAGCTAGATCTGTTGGAAATTATAAATTTTATAAATAGTTCTAAAATTCAAATTTAATTATAAAACAGTTAGTATTTGGTTAGTAAGTAGGATACATGTGTACATATAACCGTAAGAAAATCTTATCTACCTCTACATAAGATAGTACATACGCGCTTGGCATTAAATATAAGATCTTTTTTTATTATCTTTATATATGCGTGTTATCTTTATATGCAATTGTAAAGAGACCGATCTAATGTTTGTAATCTCAAAAATAACACAAATAATAAAGTGACATCTACACTGTCATAGTGTTGTAACTCAGCGAGGCTTTAAGATGGCTGTATACGTCAGGTAATGCTACAGCCCTTTAATCAAATACTGGCCATAAGGATTTTATCAAATTTCTTCGAGCGAGAAAGGAGTATAGGGCTATCTCACTCCTCCACGAACGGTGGTGTGTATACATCATGCATATTGCACATCACCGCTATTGGAGGAGTGAGATGGCCTATACTCCTTTTTCGCTCGAAAAAATTTGACAAAATCCAGATGGCCAGTCTCTGATTAAAGGGTCTCTAGATAATGCCAATAAATGAATTATACCATCTGATCAAATTTGACCCGGACTGGTTAAAAAAACAACAATTTTATGTATTTTAATACAAATCTTTATGATCGCCTTCAAAATAGCCTCCTTCTGAGCCAATACAAGCATGCCAACAATTAATCCAATTTTCCATACACTTCTTATAGGCCTCGGCCGGGATGGCCTTTAGTTCCTTCAGCGAATTTCTTTTTATGGCCTCAATCGATTCGCGTTCCCCGGAGCGGATATTTGAGTTTCGGAAACAGAAAAAAGTCACAGGGAGCCAAATCTGGCGAATACGGTGGCTGAGCGATGACTTTTATTCAGGTCTTTCGGTACGAGTCTGGCGGCGATGCGCTTCATACCCAAAACATTAACCAAAATGTGTTGAGTCGATCCATAAGAGATGTTGAGAGCTTCTGCTATCTCTCTAATGCCAACACGACGATTTTCAAGCACAATTTCCTTCACTTTTTCCATGTTATCGTCGTTAACAGAGGTGGATGGACGACTCGCATGAGACAAGTTTTCTACGACCTCACGACCCTCACTGAATGCTTTATGCCACTCAAATACTTGCGTTCTCGATAGAGTAGACTCCCCAAAACACTTCTGCAACATTTTCAATGATTCCGTAGCCGTAATTCCATTGGAAACACAAAATTTCAAGCAAACTCGTTGTTCAATTTTTTTTTTCATAGTAAAAATCGCCAGAGAAACTTTTTGCGTCGTAAACAAATGGCTGCCAAACACACACTAACTGACGTATCCCGCTCAAATTTCACACGAATGTCAGAGAAGGTTGTACCAATCTAGAAAAAAAAAATTTTTATCGATTCAATTTACGCGCGCGGTTTAAATGGACCAGTCCGGGTCAAATTTGATCAGATGGTATTATTATTAGTATGTACAATTGTTGTTTGACAGTCATTTGTGCCAATCGATGTCCGTGTTTTTGTAAAAATGGAAAAAATCGAATATCAACGATCGCCATAACAAACTTTTTTTTTTTTATTGAATTGCGGTTTGAATTAATTAACTATCCACCGTATTCATCAGATCTGATTTTTAACGACTTTTTCCTGTTTCTTAGGCTCAAAATTAGGCTGCGAGGACACAAATTTTCAAACCGAAACATTGACATCGACTGGCACAAATGACTCTCAAATAACAACGGAGCATCCAAAACAATTTTCAGAGATAAATTGCAAAACATGTACGATTGTAATACCAGAATGGTTTTGATAAGCAGTGCCATCTTCATGTTGAGGCTTAAACTTTTCAAACGACTCTTGTATAATATAATAATAACAAAGAAATACTTTTTTCTCCCATTTCTTGTAAAAACGATGTAACACACATAGTTTATATAAAAATATTGTACATATAGCCTATGATTATTTTGCAAAATTCTTCTGTAGTGTGCGTATGTACATATCTTTTAAATTTAAAAATAATTTTATGTAACACATTTACCTTTTTTTATATATATATTTTTGCATTCACAATATTTGAAAAAAATCAAATAAATGCAATAAATTAGTAATAGTGGAAAATAAGTAATACCTTTGATCGATGAGAACTATCACAACTTGTACATAAGACTTCCATGTTAATAAATAACAGTAAAGTATTAAATTCTTTCTGCTGCATATACTGTGCATATGTAAGTAGAATTGTCTGGAGAGAATTAACTTTTCTAACGCGTATTATTAATGTATTATTATTGTTAACAATGTATATAGGCAGCAAAACTATGCGTCAGCATACCTATTTTCTGCGTAACATTGTGACAGTAAGACATTACGACACGAATGTATAAATCGTGATAAAAAAATACACTAAACTAAATAGCCATTAACTGCTTTGTTTATAGTTAAATAAACAATATTTTATAAAAATAATAATCTCTTTATTCATAAGGTATCCCATTTTTAATAAAGCATTAAGATTTTTCGAAAACTGGTAGATACGGAAAAATGTTCCAAACAAAAGTTGTATGGTTCGAAGGGGAACATAAAAAGGTACTATTAATTTGATCTTGAGTGGCGTCGTCAAGATCAGGGTAAAAGCACTTTGAATTTTTTAAACAAAATCGCCCATTTTTCATTGCATATTCTTATCCAGGATCAGAATAACATTTGTCAAGATCAAAACCTTTGAAGGTTGTACTTCTCATTTTCATTTTTACGTAAAAATGAATTTTTAGTGCAAAAATAAAAATAAGAGCTACAACCTCCAATAGCCTTGATTTTACAATTTAACAAACGTTATTCAAGTCATGATTCTAAACAACATTTAAGAGGTTTTAGCTGTCGATCGGACATTTGGGTAATGCTAATGCCAGCGGTACTATAAATTTTAAATCTTTTAACATGAAAAGTGCTTAATAAACAATAGTTTATTATAGTGTTCTGAAAAGTTCTCAAGGTAAACTACGAGAATATGCAATGAAAAAGGAGGAATTCCATTGAAAAAATTCAAAGTACCCTTGCCCTGATCTTGACGCTAAGATCAAGATAAAATCCAATTAATCTTAAGGTAAAATCAATAGTACCTTTTTATGTGTCCGTCTGAATCATACAACTTTTGTTTGAAATATTTTTCCGTATCTACTATGCTTTTCAAGAAATCTTAATGCATTATTTAAAATGAGACACTTTATAATTGGTTTTTAACTATCCAAATTTTGTACATTCTTTTATTATACTGTATATACAACTTAATTCTCGGCCATATATTTAATCGACTACAACACCTATTCAAATTTAAATTCTTTTTATACCGTATAATCGTTTTTAAGTGCCATCCTTCAGTTTTAAAACAAAAGATAATAACTAACGATGCTGCTGATATAGGCTGTGTTACAAAATTTACTGTCAGTACTGAAAATCTATAGTGCACGTTACGTATAGATTTTCAGTACTGGCAGTAAATTTTAGAACACAGCCATAATATCACAGTAGCGATGTCGCTCAAAAAACAGCATTTCAACTGAAGAAAAATGCAGACGAAGCATAAGGAAATGATTTGCTTGGCCTTAGCGAAAATGCTATCTTATAGTACGCCCTGGCGGAATAATTTCTTTGCTATTTATATACTACTTCTCTATAAAAGCGGTTTGTGGAAAAAATTGAGAGTAATAGCAGAGAAGTTTGTCCGTAAATCATATTAGCAAAAAAATTAATGAGGAACTACGGACAAAATTGCAAAGAAAAGGCGGATAAATTTTAAACAACATTGTAGAGAAATTAAAAGAGATATTTTTCTGCATTTTCTTTGCAAGATCAATCTGCAAAGAAACTGAGAAGAAACTAAAGACAAATTTTCACAGTAAAATAACAAAGAATTGGCAAAGAAACTGTAAAGTAATTTGAAAAGAAATTTCTTTGCATTTTCTACGTAAAACATGTACTAAGAGAAATTGAATACAAATTGAAACAAAATTACAAAGAAAATGCAAAAAACAAATTAGTGAAAATTGCAAAGTTGTGCAGAAAAGTTGTATTACATTCTTTATCATTACTTCGTTATAATAACTATTTCATAATGACAATTTTTTTTATAATTATATTGTAACATCCAGGATAGTCACTTGATCGTTACTTGTAACGAATTGGAAAAGTTACTCGTTTACTGAGAAAAGTAACTCGACATTTGTAACGCGTTACTTTCTACTCGTTTCTTGAAAGTCGTTTATACTTGTAACAAGTAACGTTATTCGTTACAAATTATCCTTTTCAATAAGTAAATGTGTAATGATGACAAATTATGTTTCAAAGTAATTTTTCCAACATTAGCATAATCTCAATGTTTAATTTAATTACAGTCACAAAAAAAATTCAACGTTATTATCAAATCATCATTATATTGTAAAATAACGGCATTACTTATATTTACTTGCCATCCCTGAATAACAATATATACTAATTAAAGAATCGATGACTACTAAATAAAAAAGAACTGCTACAAAAAAGTATGCTATATTATGTTACTATCTCCTATTCAGTTCACCTGAAATTTCTTTGAATTATAATAACTTCATAGGCCATTTTTGAGAGAAAATACAGAGAAATCGAAGAGAAAAGCAGTATTGAATAATTCTAGTATATTTTTCTGCAGTTCCTCTGCATTTACTTCGCAGATGATCTTTTTTAAAGAAAATCCAGAGAAACTGAAGAAAAAAGCAGTATTAATAATCTGAAAACAGTATTAAATTTCTCTGCAATTTTATCTGCAAATATTATTCCAATCAAATTTGCCGAGAAATTCCAAAGAAATTTCTCTGTTTATTTCTTTGCAATTTCCGCACAAGATTCAGTACCACGACGCGAAGCAGGTTGGTATTCACATAGTCGATTCTTACATTAAAGATTGTCTTAAGTACAATTTTAAGATGTCCTAAATCAATCCGAGGATTGTATTAGCATCTTAAGACATTATTTAAGACAGTTTTAAAATAAAAACGGACTACAAATAGCACCCCATGTTTCACAGTTGGTAGCTCACTCACACTATAAACAATGCGGAGCAAAAGTAGGCGTAGTTTGGCCGAACTGCACACATCATGTAATACTTCTATCATGGGTTCATTCCACAATCATATAAGAGTTGGGTTAGGATTAAATCGGGATGGAGCTGCAGGGGGGACTCTGACCCTCTCCCACACGTATTCTTCCTACACGAAATAATTGTTCTATTCCAAATAGTTTCATTTCCCGACCCTTATCTCATTGTAAGGTAAACCTCGGTTCAAATGGAAAGTTCCACGCCCTCTATAGGCGGAAGGGAAGGTGAGATGAAAGTCGCGTGGAAAATCGTACGCTTCGGAGCACAGGAGGAGGTGGGATCTCGCTTCGCGTGAAATGCCAGAGAGAAAAATTAACATTTTTTTGTTAATAACTTTTAAAGAAAGGATGAGCACCAACTGAAACTATCTAGAAGTCACTCCTTAGAATCATGACCTTGACAACATATGTCATCGGCGCGATATCCCTTAAAACTTATAATTAACCAATTTTTTTTCTATATTTTAACATATTCAAAGCTTATTAAAATCAGAGAGGGACAGTTAATTATAATATATTCCCTTGTAAGCTTAAATAGCTTTGAGTCAATGTATGTCATCTTTTCTACATTTAATTTAAATCATTTTATTATATCAAATTACTGTTATTACTTACAATAAAATGTCATAATAGAAACATTTCTGTTGACTAATATGTCATCTAGATTTATTCTCTCAAGTTGAAGAACATTAATACGAAATTTTAAAGCACCCGATAATGTACTTGTTCTTCTTGAATCAGACTTTCACTTTTTTATTATAATATTTATTTAATTTAAATAAAACTTAAACAAAAATACCTATGTTATAAAATATATTTTTTGGTAACTTTTCCATTGTTTCTTTTGCTATGAATACAAAACGCAATATTATTTTACCTCTTGTATCAACGAACCCCAGTTTTTTCCCTACTTATAAAATTACATTGCCATAAAAAGGATAGATTATATACATGAATAAATATTTAATAGCAATTTAATTGTAAATCAAAGTTAATACGATTATCTTTCATAGAATTTATAATATTTCGTCAGTAATTTGCGCAGATGTTTCT